AGCCATGAAGTTAACCTCAGAGACCAGATGGGCTAACCAGCAGCCAGCAGCACCCCACACTGAACACAAGAAAACTACCAGAATTACAGCAATCTTCAGCACAAACACTCACAACTCAAGTGCCAAACAACGGACTGACCTGTAGGCTGGAGGGCACTTTCAGGGTTATGAGGGCTACGGGAACCACGCTCTTGGAGTCTGGCACGTCCACACTGCCTGAGATGACCACATACTCATGCTCCCCCTCCCCATGCTGGAGTCTGAAAGGAGAAGGGGCAGTGGCTATGAATGGAGTGTCATAGTTTGCTCTCACTCACTCATTCATTTCACTCACAGAGACTCACTCACTCACTCACTCACTCACTCACTCACTCTCTCTTCTTTCACCCTATCTAAGCTCTTAAAAACTAACGTAGGAAGAAAGGCAATCAAAATGAAAAGGAAAGATGAAAAGACGAGAGGGATACAGAGAAATAAAAAGGTAAAACACAAAAAACAAGAAAAAGTGAAGGGGAAGAGTACATGACCCAAAGCACCCACTTGATGGACTCAGTGGCAGCCGAAGGCCAGTCCCCGAGGCCCATCTGCTCCACGTCCACAATCGCATCCTGGTCTGTAGGGTTCGTGATCTGTGACAGGGAACAGGAGCAATACGCAAAGATCAAGGACTGGATGTTACACATTATATGAGACATTATCACTGACTATTGTACGAAACAAATGTTGACTGTCTATTTAATATCTAGATATTATCATATACCTCCATAAAAATGAAGAAAAATAAGTATTCCTAGAGAAATTACTAACCAAGCATCTTTCATTGTTTTGCACATAAGTATCAGTGAAAATTTCACAATGCAAGTGATTTAAATGACAAGTGTCAACTACAATCATAGTTATTCATTTGTATATATAGGTCAACTTTTCTCTGCATCCTCCCAGGAAATATTTCAGCAGATGCTTGTAGCTCTTTTTTAAAAACCAAGAAAGTTATCTCACTTACCTTAATATCCTGAAGGAGGAGCGAGGGCATAGTGCGATGGGCATACAGTTTGTAAGTGACATCAAGGGGCCCAATGCCAGGTTGGTCCCATGACTGCAGGCGGTGTACCGTGCCTGTCGTATACTCTGTTACTATGGCCTCCTTCACACTCATGCCTAGGAGGAGAAAAGCGTTTTTTTATCAACTCTTCGTATATGGGCATCAACATATGGCTGACATCTGACCAAAGAAATTTTGGTCTCTGGACAGCTGTGAAATGTATTAGTAACAGGTGCTAGCTTCATACTGGATTTTATCTAATTACCCATTTTCATCTGGTTAATCATCATACATATACATACATTTAACCCCTTGCCGCCGGGTGGCATATACATACATGCCATGGCTGTTGTGGACAAAGTAGTGGATGGCATCATATCACAACCATTCCTGCGCCACTGGCTCATCAGACAGAGTTTGTTTTTCTCTAATAGTTATGGCTTCATTTACATGATAAATTTTAGGCAATAGCACCTAAATTATAATATTTTAAAAATCATAGCAAAATAAAAGCTTTTAGGTGCCAAATGTTGCTTGCAAACTACCTAACGAGCCGAGTGCAAACAGGGGAAACTGCCGATGCGTGCCACTAATCGTACAATCATGTCCCTTGCCAAACTTTTTTACCCGTGGTGAATTGGTTAAAAATACACAGTACAAATGTAATAAAATATGCTAAGTAACAGACTAAATTATAAAAAATATGCATAGGCAAAAAATACAAGTATAAAATAATAACAAAGTACTCCTCCTCACCATCAACTGACACAAGCGTGATGGGGCGGTAATTAACAGGCAGCGAGAGTGTCCTGCCGCTACGGATGTAGATAGGGCTTTCCTGGTCGAGTGACACACCCAGCAGCCCATTCCCCACATATGGTAGGAAGGGCTCCTCCTCGGGCAGTGGCGGCACGTGTAGGATGTGTGCATCATGGTCCTGCACCGCCTGCCAGAAGCGGTCCAGCCGCAGCGACAGGCTCCGGCTGGCCGAGTCTTAGATGGGGTGGGGGTGAAGGGTTGGTGCAAAGGGGAGGGGTTGAGTTTGAGTGAAGTGAGGGGAGGGGCATAAAACAAAGGGGGATGGGCGGAGGGGGAAGAAGGGGAAGGAAAATCAAGTTAACTTTATATACAAAGAGATGATAATGCTCATGAATATGGTAAATATATGGAGAGAGTGGCTGAGATGGAAGAAGAATGAACAAAAATAAGGAAGAGGGAAGATGAATGAAAAGGAAGATGAGGAAGAGGAAGAGTAGAAGAATGATGAGGAAGGAAAGAGAAGAGTGAGAGGAGGGGAAAGAAAGGAGAGATGAGTAGGAGCAAGAGGAAAAAGAAGCAGGAGAGGAAAGAGGATGAAGAGGACAAGAAAGAGAAAATGGAAAAAGAAGATGCAGGGGCAGAAGTAGAAGAGAATTAGGCAGAGAGAGAGGAGGAAGAGAAGGAAAGCAAAAAATATTT